TAGTGGCGTGACTCTGTACATACGTACATTAAAGAACAATCACACTCTGTATTGACTATATTCACTATCCAGACATATATCTGAAGTACAAAGTATCAATCATGTTCATTCTGTTTTACCTTTATCATTTCATAACACATTATAAAACATATCAATTAATACTTAAACATGGTTTAAACATGTCATCCATAACCCATTCTCAACCACATACATTTAAGCATTTATCATTTACCATCCTCCCTGGCCCTTGAGATTATGTGCATATGGCTATGTGTCAGGTCATAAGCACAAACAAATGATAACACTAGTTCCATTGTTACTCCAATCTCTACACAGCCACCACGAGGAGTTGTATCTCCATCACATGTCATTGACATACCCAGACCAGCTGCAGGGAGTTATGAAAAACACATAAATGTCTCTGCTCTGTATTAACCCTTCAACTGGTTCTCAATCCATAAACATTTTAAGGCATATAGGTGTTTAATTCTACAACATATGTACTTGAAAATCATCTATAACTTCAGTGTCCAGCTGGGCTGCAGTACGTGTCTGTTGTCTGTGACCGTCTGATCTATTGGGCACACACGTCCCCCTCCTCTGGTCACCCAGTGCTCTGTCAGACCGGAAAGTACTGGTGGCCTACCTTGGCTAAGGACGTGAGGGTGTATGTCTCCTCCTGCTCGGTGTGGCCCAGAGTAAGGCACCTAGGCACCTCCCAGCGGGGTAAGTTACAACCCTTAACAGTTCCACAACGGCCATGGTCCCACCTGTGTATTGACTTTCTCACTGATTATCCCCTCTCTCAAGGTAACACCACCAACCTGGTCGTTGTGGACCGCTTTTCAAAAGCCTGCCGCCTCCTTCCTCTGCCCAGTCTCCCCACGGCCCTGCAGACTGTGGAGGCCCTGTTTACTCACGTCTTCCGGCACTACGGGGTGCCAGAGGACTTAGTGTCCGACCGGTGTCCCCAGTTTACATCCAGGGTCTGGAAGGCGTTCATGGAATGTCTGGGGGTCTCGGTCTGACCTCTGGGTTTCACCCAGAGAGTAATAGGCAGGTGGAACGGGTGAATCAGGATGTGGGTAGGTTCCTGAGGTCCTACTGCCAGGACTGGCCGGAGGAGTGGTCGGTGTTCTTGCCATGGGCAGAATATGCCCAGAACTCTCTCTGCCACTCCTCTACTAACCTATCGCCCTTTCAATGTGTTTTAGGTTATCAGCCGTTCTGGCACCGTAGCATCAGAGCCAGACCGAAGCTCCTGCGGTGGATGACTGGTTTCGGCGCACGGAGGAGACGTGGAACGCTGCTCACGTCCACCTCCAGCGCGCCGTGGTACCGGGTGATCGGGCCTGGCTCTCGACTCAGAATCTGCCCCTCCGCCTGCCCTGCCGGAAGCTGAGCCGGCGGTTTGTGGGGCCTTTCAAAGTCCTGAGGAGGATAAACGAGGTTACATATAGGTTGTTACTCCCTCCAGATTACCGTATTAACCCCTCGTTCCATGTGTCTCTCCTCAGGCCGGTGGTGGCTGGTCCGCTCCAGGAGTCTGAGGTGCGGGAGGTTCCTCCGCCCCCTCTGGACATCGAGGGGGCCCCGGCGTACTCCGTCCGTTCCATCCTGGATTCGAGGCGTCGGGTGGGGAGCCTTCAGTACCTCGTGGAGTGGGAGGGGTACGGTCCGGAGGAGCGGTGCTGGGTTCCGGTGAGGCATATCCTCGATCCCTCCCTATTGCGGGATGTCCACCGTCGCCATCTGGCTCGCCTCTTGCCACTGCCGCTCCTCATCTCATCATTCCATTTGTTTTGTCTTGTTTATTACACACACCTGGGTCATATCCCCTCATCAGTACCTGTACAAGTGTTCCCTCTGCCCCCTTGTCTTTGTATGTGATTGTTTATTGTGGAGGATAGTGAAGCTCAGTAGAGCTCCTTGTATTTTGTATCACCGGGATATTTCCCTGTGTGCCTTGTATTTTCCAGTGCGCACTGGAGTGTTTTTGACGCGTTACTGCGTAACTCTGTGGTTGCGGAATAAAGCCTGTTATTCTGTGATTTACCCTCCTGCGCCTGACTCCTTCGACATCACCTCATCACAGGTGTAGAAAGGTGCTGTGGCTTGCGTCCACTGGTTTTAGTGATTAAACTGCAGTAAGATAATCAATTTAAAGCCAAAATAACTATTGTTTTTATCTAATGATGTCTTAAAGGTATCAATTCTAACTGTCTTTATAGTTGTGTGGTAGTCAGTACATCTAAATTTACAGTAGTTTGTGATACAGTATCTGGTTAATTTGCAATAGAAGAACTGTGCCCTAAAGGAACAGTATGTGCATAAATCTCCTATTGAGTACATGAAGTGACTTTGGGTCATGAGAATGAGATCGTGGAGGGGAGATTACGTGTGAAAATCTAAATAAACCTTCTGTATAGGTTGCATAAAACATTGCCCATTAACTGCGACATAACTGCTTTCCCCTTCCGTTGAATCACTGCACCAATGGTTTCCTCTGGAGCACAATATTTCAACAGTTTAGATAACACACAAACAATTCATTTATTTAAATAAACCTTCCCACGTCTGAGTGTGGTTTGTATGTATCTGCCATCTCAAGTATTGGCTTGGTGAGAAGTAGGACTGTTCAAAGTTCAAATATGCAGGTGTTGTACTGTATAGTAGTACTGTAATCGCTCATTTTATTTGTCCGTTTTACATTTATGGTCATAAAAATGGCCCTCCACTGAAAATGCCCATGTTTATGGCAGTAATATATCTCTATATTAGCCACAGACAAGTCATGCATTGGAGTGTATTCCAGACTGTAAGTATGAGAATGTGTATGCGTGTGTGTGTGTGTGTGACTGGTGATAAACATGCCACTGCGCCCTGCTGTATCACCCCCAGAATGATGAAGATCTGGCCTCTTACAGCCATCCTGTTCTTGTCTCCTGCTCTAATACTAGGCTCCTGAATTATGGCCATGTTAGCAACAGGGTCAGAAAAACACTGGCATAGAGAGTGTGAGAAAAGTTGCCTTGTTATGCATGACGATGGGTATTTGAGTTTGACTGTATGAAGCTCAATGCAATTGTGTATCTATCTTATTTGAATCGTATTTATCTTCCTCTGCCAGGCACTGGGTTGAGGTAAATACAATATAGAGCATGTTGTGGAGGGTTTTCAAATGTATCAAATCCTTGAGTATTTGTACATAATTTTAAGTAATTCATGAAAAGATGTAATTTAATCTCACAAATCCTCTGCAAATCTGTTATAGCGCTCATCAATTTTTTGTTGAATTAGCATATGATGTCATGATTTTGTAGATTAGTCTTACTGTAGATGGAAAGATAAAAGCAAGCCATAAAACGTTTACATTTTTGTCTTACCTGTTCCTGGAAAGATGGGTAAGTTTCCAAAATAGAGTCCTGCCTACATATCCTTTCACTCAATAGCTGAAATTCTTAACATTCTAGACAGATCATTCAAACCTAGTGACACTAACTAGCTATGGTATGTATGGAACATACACATGACATGATCCTTACTCAGTTCTTAATCATAAACTAGTCACCAAAGTAATATAGAAGAAAACTGTGAATTCTCATTACAGTATTGTTGTCTTACTTACCATCTAGCCTACTAACCATCTATAGTCGAATCAACCCAATGCATGCCACATATCATATATTGTGAATTGTATGAGAATATGAATGGTTGCAATTTAAGTTATTTACAAAAAGTAGTCCTAGAGAAAATACTTTCTCTCCGTAGAAGACTATAAAATTAGGCTACCATTCATAATGAATAGCGATGACAATTGACAATATGACCATGGATGAAATGACAACAACCAAAAACCCAGTGCAGGTCCACGAGGACATTCACCCCCCCCCCCCCCCCACTCTCATAGAGTCAAAGCCTGACTCTGTCTCTGTGGGTTGATAGTAGGAGAGTCGCCAGTGGTAGGTCAGCTGCTGTGGTTGTTCTCTCTCTCTCTCTCTCTCTCTCTCTCTCTCTCTCTCTCTCTCTCTCTCTCTCTCTCTCTCTCTCTCTCTCTCTCTCTCTCTCTCTCTCTCTCTCTCTCTCTCTCTCCTCTCTCTCTCTCTCTCTCTCTCTCTGTATTGAGGCGAGCTGCAGAGGGGATGTACCCAGTGCCCTGGCTCTGTGGTGTCCATGTTGCTTTGGGAGCCTCAGGCCTGCTCCCATACATCCCACTCTGGGTCTGTTGATCCTATTGTCTCCTGCGTCACCACGCATCGCCCGGCAAATAAAGGCTGTCTGGCTCCAAGCTTAAATATTGCAGCAAACTAAAAACCAACCATCAGAGCCGATTCATTCACATCTGCTCAGTGGGGCGACAAGGACAGGGCTTTAGGTGGGAAAGAGGGCAGAAAAAAGTATACTTTTCCCCGCCGGGTGCCAAGAGAGCGGGACAGGACACTACTTCGCCGGAGCCGCATCTGTGGCAAGTTGCCCATTTGTTAACGTTTAACCTATATCATACCTTACTGATGTAAATATGGGGGTTATGGATGTGTTATTGCTAGTTTTCATGGAGGGTTAACTTGGTGACTAGTGGAACAGTGCTTTAGTGGAACGACGCTACAGTAAGACATTTTGCTTTGTATTACCGTGTGGTACGCTATGGTGTTCAATTATTATGGATAAAAAAGGGAAACATGTAGAGTAAAATAAGGGGGGGTGGCATTCAACATTTCTGAAAGGCTATATTTGAACTTTGAAACAGTTCATTTTTAAGGATAAGCTGTGTAGATGGACTTTAACTCGACAGATGGCTGTTCTGTCGCCATTATTCTGATTTTGTCATGCAACAGCTTTTTAGCTGAACAAAAACATTGCGATAACCGTGTGGTGACGGATAGGGATTTTGGAATTTGTCTGTTTTTAAAACCTATCTCTGTCTCACTCTCTGTTTCCTCCACCCTCCCTGTCCCCCTGCATCCACCCCTTCATTCTACCTACAGCGCTACGGACCGATCATGGGTGACTGGAGCTTTCTGGGTAATATTTTAGAGGAAGTGAATGAGCACTCAACGGTGATCGGCCGGGTGTGGCTCACGGTCCTCTTCATCTTCCGCATCCTCATCCTGGGTACGGCGGCAGAGTTTGTGTGGGGCGACGAGCAGTCAGACTACGTCTGCAACACGCAGCAGCCCGGTTGCGAGAACGTGTGTTACGACGAGGCATTCCCCATCTCCCACATCCGCCTGTGGGTTCTGCAGATCATCTTCGTGTCCACGCCGTCTCTGGTCTACGTGGGCCATGCTGTGCACCACGTCCACATGGAGGAGAAACGCAAGGAGCGCGAGGAGGCCGAGCTGAGTCGCCAGCAGGAGCTGAATGAGGAACGGCTGCCGCTAGCACCCGACCAGGGCAGCGTGCGCACCACCAAGGAGACCAGCACCAAGGGCAGCAAGAAGTTCAGGCTGGAGGGCACCCTGCTGAGGACCTACATCTGCCACATCATCTTCAAGACACTGTTCGAAGTGGGTTTTGTTGTGGGCCAGTACTTTCTGTACGGCTTCCGCATCCTGCCGCTGTACAAGTGCAGCCGCTGGCCCTGCCCCAACACCGTAGACTGCTTTGTGTCCCGGCCAACAGAGAAGACAGTCTTCATCATTTTCATGTTGGCCGTGGCTTGCGTCTCGCTCTTCCTTAACTTCGTGGAGATCAGCCACCTGGGCTTGAAGAAGATCCGCTTCATCTTCTGGAAGCCAGCCCCGGGGCAAGCCCAGAGTGAGGGCCCGAGCCCACTGCCCCCTCCAGGGGGGATCCTCAAGAGCCTGCCCCCCCTGGCCGTGCCCTCCATCCAGAGGGCCAAAGGCTACAGGCTGCTGGAGGAGGAGAAAGCCCCGTCCGTGACCCACCTCTATCCCCTGGCAGAGGCGTGCATGGAGGCAGGGAGGCTAACCCCCCTGGCCCCGCCCTTCCAGTGCATGGAGGAGAAGGCGGAAGAACTGGGGCACATGGAGGACATTTCTAAGGTGTACAATGAGACCCGGCCCTCCTACGCCCAGACCACCGAGATAGGGGAGGATACACTACCACTACACCAAGAGGAGGAGGAGCAGGAGCAGCAGCAGCAGGAGGTGGTGGAAGAGGGCAAAGAAGAGGAGAAAGTGGTGGCGGAGGTGGTGGAGCAGGATGTGGTGGATGGAGTGGTGGAGGAGGACGGAGTGGTGGAGGAGGATGTGGTGGATGGAGTGGTGGAGGTGGTGGTGGAGGAGGATGTGGTGGATGGTATGGTGGAAAGGGAGGACGAGAAAAAAGAAGAGCAGAGGGAGGAGGAGGTGGTGGAGGAGGTTGTGGTGGAGGAGGTGGTGGAGGAGGTTGTGGAGCAGGAGGATGTGGTGGAGGAGGTGGTGGAGGAGGTTGTGGAGCAGGAGGATGTGGTGGTGGAGGTTTTGGTGGAGGAGGTGGTGGAGGAGGTTGTGGAGCAGGAGGATGTGGTGGAGGAGGTTGTGGTGGAGGAGGTGGTGGAGGAGGTGGTGGAGGAGGTTGTGGAGCAGGCGGATGTGGTGGAGGAGGTTGTGGTGGAGGAGGTGGTGGAGGAGGTTGTGGAGCAGGAGGATGTGGAGGAGGTGGTGGAGGAGGTGGTGGTGGACGGGGAAGGGGGACCTCCAGCCGAGGCAGGGATGGAGGTGACGGATACGATAGAAGACACCAGACCACTGAGCAGATTGAGCAAAGCCAGCAGCAGGGCCAGGTCAGACGATCTCACCGTATGAACCTGTGAGAGAAAACGCACGCACACACACACACTTACACTCACACACACACCGAACACAGCAGAACACACACCTAACTCAAGACAACACACAGTTCATACAGCAGGGCTTAACCAAGGGAAACAAATGTAAAACCAACAGGGATAGATTCAATCACAAGTTGCAAATTACTCTTACGACGTGGGCAACATCATTCAACAAGGCAAAGAAAGATCTGAGCTTGTTTGTGAGATAAGTGAATATTATAAAAAGTAGCGGTTAAAGAGAGGAGGGATAGATTTTTGTATTAAGCGTGTTCTTATATAAAACCAAATGTAGAAAGGGAAAACATGCAGAGAGGGGGAAAGATTTTTACTTGATGAAAATCCATGTGCTGTTTTTAGAAACATATTTTTCTTTAACAATAACCAATGAAAGATTACTAATGTTTACATATTTTGGGGGGGTTGAATGGGTAGGGGAAGAGATTGATCAGATATTCATGTCTACAAAGCAGTAACATTACTTTAGGCAGGCAAGCACTTTCATTCCCATACAGTCAGTGACACTGGAACTATGTAGTTGCAAACATGTTGCAGGTGGAAGGGCTCTTACACACCAAGTTCTTGCACAGAAAAATCACAGACCAAAATGTACAAACTTATGACTGACTCTTCAACACCAAGTTGATAGTCATTTTTGCACACATTTCCTAGAGAACAGAGAACTCTGTGCAAGGCCTATATAACCCTCATATCACCTCAATTATGCTTAGATTTACACTCCTTACAATTGAAGGGAGATTTGCATCTATGTACAAGAGCATATCTCTCCCTTTAATGTTTATATACAGCGAAGTACAGACGAAAAGCTGAGTAGTGGAGAAAAAACCCCAAAAACAATACCACATGTTGAATGTCTCTTTTCATCGTGATTCTACATCTCATCTTTTGGATTGCTTATATATTTTGTTGCCTATGTAATGCAGAAGTGTGAGCTGTGATAATGTTGTCTTTTTGTGAAAGAGAGGAGTGCTGGTTTTGCCCGATCACAGACTGGACCATAGTAACAACCTCAGGCCAAATCCTCTCTTTTCGCACTGTACAAACAGGCGTCAGAGCGATAAAGATCACGCACGATCAGCACAAAGTATTGTTGAGCCACAGACAATAAAATAAACCGCTCTCATATATGAAAAACAAGCATCCTTGACATTGTTGTGGTGGAAAAATTGTTTTACTTGATTTTATCTGCCCTTGATGTTCCTTTCCCCTGTACAAATATGAAATACTTGTTTACAAAATTTAGAAAGAAAAACAATCAACAGTGAATCTCATTGTACATAAACTATAATCCTATCTGATGTCTAATAGCAAACATAATGTTGAGAACATTTAGTTTAAGTTATGATATTATGTCTTGCTAAATTACTAGAAAACAGGCAAGAAATATCCTAATGCTGCTCAAGTCACTGATTTGGTAGGGAAAATGAAGTGCTTTTCAAAACAGAATAATAATTATTATTATTACCAAAGACTTGCATTGCTGAACTTTGACCTTTCTTATCTCTGTCCCAGAGATGTTTTTATTTTTACATGTTTAAAAAGTTGTAAGAGAGCAGAATTCTCTCTTACAAGTACTTTTTAAATTAAAACAAAAAATCTATGCCCCTTGAAATGGATGCCTTAAAGTATGACTTATGTGTATGAAATATTTCTCTCTCTTGCTCTTTCTGCTTTATTTAAATTGCTTGGCTATTTTGCTTTCCGATGTATAATTTGATGTGCTTTATCTGTAAATGTAAATTCTCAAATGTCTTTGTAAAGGTTAAAGCACTTCCATTGCTCTTGGAACTATGTGAATGTCATGTATTGAATTCAATGTTTTTGATGGTTTTTTTCCCTTAGCTTTCAAATAATCATTTGAATACGCAAAATCCCCCTTCATTTTTTAGGGAAATGTAAAGTTTGTCTGCAAATAAGTGTACTTGTGTCTCAGTCAGTGCTGTGCCTTAAATCAAAGCATTGGTCAACGCAGCAGTGGGTTTATCCAGTGGCACAGATGATCAAATGGTGCAGAAAAGCCACAAACACATACAAGCACACACACACAGACGCACATGCTCTCACACATGCATACACACACATGCATACCCATCTGCATGCACACGCACACAAACACACACTTCCAGTGTTGGTTTTGGGGGTATGATCAAACGGCTCTAGACAAACTCTGACAGAAAGGCAGCTTTGACCCCTTTGTGACCCCCAGCCACTCATTTGCCTCCCATAAACCAATGCTTTGGCAACCTTGTGAATGAGGCAACAGGCTTTTCACAATTGCAGAAGAGTGTAGCACATTTCAACACTGTGAAATATATTCCAAAACCAAAATATGTTCTGGTTCTCATGTGTGGTAAATTCATATAACTGGTACATATGTGTTTTCTTTTTCAAACAGTTCCCCTTGCTTAATCATTTGTAAGAACATTTGACTAATCTTGGGAAATAAAATAACAATTTTTACTAACTTCTAGTCCTCTTTGCTCCTAGTTGTGTGACTGTATCATCTTTTGGAAAGTGAACCAAGGCAATAAAAGGTCACTCGTGGGCAAGAAGTATTGCGTCAGTGTTTCTCTTCAAACCACTTTCTCTCTCTCACCCCCCCCCCCCCCCCCCCCCCCCCCACACACACACACACGCCCGCACGCACACACACACACACATTTTGCTGACATCTGCTGCTTTGCAGCCTATTGCCACAATACATTACTTACCAGAGTATTCTGAATGTACATGGATTAACTTGTATCAAGTATTAGTGAGTATTTACTGCCCTCTGTTGGCAAAGATAGTGATTCAGTCATTTACAGTGCATTCGGAAAGTATTCAGACACATTGACCTTTTCCACATGTTGTTACCGGACTTGAACCCGATCTAACATTTCTGGAGAGAGCTGAAAATAGCTGTGCAGCGACGCTTCCCATCCAACCTGACAGAGCTTGAGAGGATCTGCAGAGAAGAATGGGAAAAAGTCCCCAAATACAGGTGTGCCAAGCTTGTAGCGTCATACCCAAGAAGACTCGAGGCTGTGATCGCTGCCAAATGTGCTTCAACAAAGTACTGAGTAAAGGGACTGCTGTGAACTGGGCTGTACTACTGTACATACAAAGATTAGGTTGTGTGTGTGTGTTGGGTGTGTGTGTGTGTGTGTGTGTGTGTGTGTGTGTGTGTGTGTGTGTGTGTGTGTGGTGGAGTAGTTGGTGAAGTAATTTCTCAAATTTCACATCTCACAACTTTTTCTTAGGTGTCATTGCTGTGTCGTCACTGCCCCAGCAGTAGCTGTTCAGAGCTAGGTCCTCTGTGCTATTATCAACTTGATAACAACAACAGCTCTTGTTCATTCAACTAATAAAACAAAGCAATAGCATGTTATATCAACTTGAAACAATCACATTTAGCTCTTGTTCATTCAACTAATAAAACAAAGCAATAGCATGTTATATCAACTTGAGCAAGGCACTTAACCCTAATTGCTCCTGTAAGTCGCTCTGGATAAGAGCGTCTGCTAAATGACTAAAATGTAAATGTAAATGTTATTCAACTAATAAAACAAAGCAATAGCATGTTATATCAACTTGAAACAATCACATTTAGCTCTTGTTCATTCAACTAATAAAACAAAGCAATAGCATCTTATTCCCCCTTCCTCTGTAGCTCAATTGGTAGAGCATGGCGCTTGTAACGCCAGGGTAGTGGGTTCGATCCCCGGGACCACCCATACGTAAAAATTTATGCACACATGACTGTAAGTCGCTTTGGATAAAAGCGTCTGCTAAATGGCATATTATTATCCCCCCCTCATTCTGTCAGGGACCCCCATGTATTTCATGTGAGGACCACTAGAGGTCCCTGTCTCACAGGTTGTACGACCTATGGTCCATTTAAATGGTTTTAAGTATCTTCCTCCTCTCATCTCCTCCCCTTCCTCTACTGTAGATCACAGGACAGGTGAATTCAATGAGTGTTTATTTATATGATTTAGTATATCAGGTACCAGCTTACATTTCATTATTTATCTTCAAGTCATAGTTGAAATCTTTCCTACCATTTCATCCGAAATAGTCTATTTAATTGTGTATTGTGTTTTTATGTGTTTTTGGACAGGCATTGGTTAATTGATAATTGACAGCCTTCCCTCCAATTTGGCCTGCTAATTATGTGCAGGTGGTGAAAGGTGTGGGAGAGGCATCACATGGTTTTCAGTTTAGGCAAGAATGATGTGAGGAGTGTTTACATCTTGGGTAACGCTTTACTTGACACCCAGCATCATAGCATGTTATGACACAGTCATAACCGTGTCATAATATGTCATAACAGCTGACATAACTTTTCATAACCTGTCATAATAGGGTCATAACACTGTCATGACCCATATATTTACACCTGTTGTGATATACTGTATATTGAGTTATTCTATGGCTGGTTATGACTACATAAGAGTGACTATATAAGAGTTTCCCTGCCAAGAAGTTTCTTTTCATTTGAACGTTTGTGTAAGGTTCTGTATTTGTTTTCTTAGTTCACCTTTTGTTCTTGTACGTAGCCCTGTTTCTTTGTGTTCTTGAACGTAGCCGTCTTTCATTTTTGTTCATTGATTTCACCTGTGTTAGTTACTCACCTGGTCTCATCAGCTCCTTATTTAGTTCAGTTCTTTCTGTTTGTGCCTTGTGACGTATTGTTTGTTTTGACTCTACTAAGCCTTTTTATAGCTTGTTTGTGAGAACCAGTTATAGCCTTCAGTCCTAGTTTTTGATTCCCTTGCCTGTTTGCCTACCTGTGTATGACCATTGCCTGCCTGTGACCACAATTCCTGCCTTTTGTGAAGGTGAAATAAACACCTGCCGCGCTCTGCGTGTGAATCTATACCTTTTTCTCCCTTAGTATTCATTACAGTTTGTTTCTTAAGTCCTTTGATGTTGTTGTAATCAGGGCCTTGCACAGACATTTTGGGGGGCATG